GCTTATATTCGGGTCGGCCTATACTCGAGTATATACGGTACCTCATTAAAATATTTCATAATAACATTTTTAATGTATCCAGTGAAATAGTGGATATATCATCACAACTTTGTTTCAGCATGTTGTAACCCAGCAGCCCCCAACCTTTTGGGCACCAGGGACCAGCTCCGTGGATAGAGCTTTTTCCACGGACCAGAGGCAGTGTTGTTTCGCATGCTGCCTGCATCCCGCAGATGGGTTTTCACTTCCTTGCGTGGCCCAGTTGCTGGCATACCACAGCCCGGTGCCAGTCCATGGCCTGGGGTTTGATCTTTCCTGATGCCATTCTTAAATCATTTAAATATGTGGTGTTTCAGTTTTATAATTTGAACTGAACTTTTCTTCCTACATTATTTCTTAAAGAAATGTAATTGCATTATTTACACAATGGAACAGAATGTTTATAGCTGTAAAAAGCCAATATGCCATCATGATTTTAACTGTGGGGTTTTGGGTGTGTGTGGGTGTGTGTCAAATTCTTTTCATTAGTACTAAAATGCTTTCAAAAACTCCTTTCAAAAAGCTATAAATATAATCATGAGATTTTGCACAAGAAATTTAAGATTAAAAGTGATTAAAATAGATTTTTAAAAATCCTGCATAGACTTGTCAACCTTTCATTTACTTGACTGTGTCACAAACACCCATAATAGAAGGGGCTTGCTGATAGCAACACACTATATTGCTCCAGGTGAATCAGATGCTTCTTGAAAATAAGACAGAAGAGTGATTTTAGGTATGTTGTTTCCCACATGCATCAGGTTATCTTTATATAAAAGAGAGGGAAGAACAATAAGGAAAATACAGGAGAGCAGCAATTTGAAAAGCATGATTGCAGACAAACCTCACCAAGTGACTTAACAGTGCAGAGCAAATAATGAGTGTGGAAGTTCTCCTATTTTCTGTGGGGACTCATCATTAGACAATTAAAAGGTGTGAAGGGCACTCCAGAGGTGAACATGCCATCTCATGGCTGATAATGAACCTGCAACATTGCAAAATTGCTCCCTGTATTAAATGTGGGATACACATTCTTAAATCATTTCTCCATTTCCTATTGTTATT